GCATTATTTGATGGGTTTTAGTTCCAAGTTACCCACTTCCTCTTAGTAGGGGGCTGAAGTGCAGTCAATGCCCCTGCTTTGCAAATGTAGTTAGAAAAATCCGATGCTCTAGGCCATCTGCAAACTGAAAGATGGCAAACAGACTGTCATCAGTACATTGTGTCAGTGCTCAAAAAATACTGGGGAGACCTGTGTATTTCATAACCAAAGCCTCACTGGTTCTAAATGTTCTTGATAGTGGTTCTCATTCAGAAGCCTTTCCCTCTTCCATCTGATCTTTCTTTCTATGGTTTGGTATTGTGTAAGTGACTTGGCCAATTTACCCAATTTCTTGGTAGTTCATTAGAATTTGAAGAATATTGCTCTGTTTTTACTGGTTATTGGTTTTCTGTGTGACCTTGGGGAACTGTAATGCACATAGTGGTGCAGATATGAGACTTTCCTGTCACAGCTTTGTAGTATCCGCTAAAAGCTTTTATGTTTCCCTTAAATTATCTCTGCTTTCAAAAATAAACATTCAAAAGCTACTGATAGGCAAGGTTTCAATTCCAGTTATAATGGAGTAAGCACACTCCATCCTTTCTTTCACACTGAATGCAGCCAAAAAACACTGAGCAGAATATATGGATCAGCTATTTGAGGAATGAAAAGCAAATGGTAGCAGGCAGCTGGAGGAAGGAAACCAAAATGCAAGGTATGACAGATCCAGTCCAGAGTTTCCTGTTTCATTTTGTTCTTTTCTTTCTTTTTCTTTCTTTTTTTTTTTCCCCACTCACATCTCCTGCCTGGACTCAAAGGCAGTGCATATCCCAGAACTGCCCTCTGGGTGCAGACAGAGCTCTAAGGGAATTCCTCTCTTTCTGGCCGAAGGAGAGGAAGGGAAGCCACACCAGGACAGAGACTGGGAGAAATCCTACCAATTTCTATGCTAACCCTGTTAACATTTAATAGGTTACATTCTAGACTTTTTCTGTGCATTGTTTTTCTTTAAACACAGTTATACCAAACAGTATGTTTCCTTTTTTTTTCTCTCTCAATAGAGGAATATGTTTATAATCTAAACTTACTATGCAGTCACTGTAAACTTATTTTTAAATAATTTGTTAAGCAGCTGTAGCCTGGTTCAGGGCTTCTCAAATTTTAATGTGCATTTAAATTACCGTAGATTCTAGTTCACTGGTCTAGCTTAGGACCTGAGAATGCATTTACAGCAGGCTTCCCATCTTGCCAGTACTATCCCCTGACAGACCAGGTTTTGAATAGTTACTTAACAGTTCCCATTTAGGTTGTTTCCAGTTTGTTGCCTTTTTTTTTTTAGAGACAAGGTCTCACTCTGTTGCCAGGCTCGCGTGCGGTGGTATGATTATAGCTCACTGTAGCCTTGAACTCCTAGGTTCAAAGAATTCTCCTGCCTCAGCCTCCCAAGTAGCTGGGAGTACAGGCACATGCCACCACACCTGGCTTACTTTTAAATTTTTTTGTAGAGAGAGAGTCTCGCTATGTTGCCCAGGCTGGTCTCAAACTCCGGGCTTCAGGCAACCCTCCCAAAGTGTTGAGATTATAGAAATGAGACATCCTGCTCAGCCTGTTGCTTTTGTAATTAGTATTACAGTGGGATATGTTTGTACATAGAGCATTTCTTCATATTTGATATCATTTCTTTGTGGTAGACTCCTAGAAGCAATGTAACTGGGTCAGAGGTTATGACTATTTAAATTGCTGGTAAACTACTGATGGTTATTTTCTTAGAAGCTTTGCCAACGATAATACATATATTCTTCCCAAATTGTAGAAGAAGAAATCGAGGCTTAGAATGGTTCAGCTATATGAGGTCACACAGCAAATCATTCAAAGAGCTGTGACTTTACCCCTAGGTATCTGTTTCATGGCCTGCTCTTCCCTGCACTGCTTTGGAGACAGCCACTGCTTCCCCTTCATCCCCTCCATTTAAACAAGCCTCACTGTCCTTGTTGTACTTGCCTCACTGTTAGCTCACTCTTTTTTCTTTTAAGATTTGCTAATTCAACATGAGAAAAGGAGCTCCTGTTATGTAAATTTTTATTTCTATTTGATTGACAGAGTTTATGTCTCTATAGTCACATCCTTTATCATTTGATAAATTTTGTTTCCTAAGTTGGTCTTACTTTACTTAATTTTTCTGTGCTGGGTAAAGAATACAGATATTAACTTGTTTCTGCTGCAATTGTTTTGTGATTTGTCTTGTATTTTGCTTTTTTAACACATAATTTAAATTTTTGTCTTTTTCTATTTCCCACTAAGCTTTAAGAGGCTTTCCCTTTGCAGAAATTTGATAAACATAGGAAGATATTTTTAAAAGGAAGTTTAGGGGCTACCTGTAAGAAATACAGCATTAAATTTTTGCTGTTTTCCTCAGTGCGAAACACATAGTTTCTCCCCAAAGATTTTCTTGCTCAAATTAGAGGAAAAATTGCAGATGATGCTGCCCTGAGAATGTGATTTATCATTTTTAAAACACAGAGGGAGTTTTAGAAGGACATTATAAAATAATGTAAAATGAAGAAACACCCATGCTTTTTTTGCCATAATTTTCTTCTGCATCTTATCCATTGTTAAAACAGAACTAGACTAAACTTTTAATTTGAAACTTAAAAAAAATTTTTATCATGTTTATAAGGGCATGCAATTTAAAAAATAAAATTGTTCTATACAACTTGATGTGAAAAACAGTAGTCTCCTGGTCCTGACTCCAACAGCGCCTTTTCCCGTTCTCTTTCAGCTCTTTTAGCTGAACCTTGTGGTATTTATCTCTATGTCTGTCACTCTTTTTTTCATAGTTTTTAATGTATTTACTCTCGTGTCTCTACGTGATATGAGATATTGTTACTCTGTAATTTTTGAATATAGGCATTCTCTGTTACTAACTTCTGCTGTAGAAGGCAAGGCTTTAGTGTCCTTCTGTGACTCCTCCCTCATGATCCCTACCCCCCAAACCCCATCACCACTATACACTTTCAGACTTCCTATCCTGTCTTTGCTGTGCAGTTCTTTGTCCTTTGTTTAGCTCAATATGCAGTGTTTACATTATTACAGTTCCATAAATGCGACTCATGGCCAAGTCATGTAGTTTCCCATAATTACTTTCCTCCTCTGCACAATATTTTGTTCCCTGTAGAGTTAGTCTTGGTTTTTGGCTTTAGTAGTTTTCTTTGTACTTGCTCACCCCGAAGTTATGAAACTCCTCTCGAGATAGCCAGAGGCATCGGGTATTCTGTTGGTTTCATCTCCTTGATGACATCTCTCCAGAGCATTCTGGCTGTTTGCTTTCCAGACCAAACTTGTGAGTTTCTGCACAGTCCTTCATCTCTCCTTCCTTGGCAACCTAGTGACTCCTGTTTCTTCTTTTCTCCACATTTACTCCCTTGCTTTGGAGACTGTATCCTCTGTGATTCCTGGAAAAGAGTATATAAGTGGTAAATATTTTAAAATCGTGTATGTATGAAAAAGGTTTTAATTTATCCTTAAGTTTATGCTTAGTGGTAATATGACTGGGTACAGAATTCTAAGTGGGAAATTATTTTCCCACAGGATTTAAAGGCATTTTCTCAAAGCTTTCTGTTTTTCAGTGTTGCTTTTGAAAAGTCTTATTCTGATGATCCTTCATATAAAGCTTGTTTTTGATCTCTGGAGGTTTTAGAGTCTCTTCTTAGTCCCCATATGCTGAAATCCCATGACAGTGAGCATTGATATGTAGGTCTGTTTTCTTCCATTAAGGTGGGCATTCAGTGGTCTCTTTGGATTTGGAAATTTATATCCTCTGTGTGGTGTCATCAACCTGCCATTCTTTTTTTTCTTTTAATTTCCCACACTTCACTGATGTATCATCCTTCCATCCTTAATCAGAAGTCTTGATAATTTTTTCTTTTTTTTTGAGACAGTTTTGCTCTTATCACCCAGGCTGGAGTGCAGTGGTGCAATCTCGGCTCACTGCAACCTCCTTCTCCCGGATTCAAGTGATTCTCCTGCCTCAGCCTCCTAAGTAGCTGGGATTATAGGCACCAGCCACTGTGCCTGGCCAATTTTTGTAATTTTAGTAGAGACGAGGTTTCATCATGTTGGCCAGGCTGGTCTCAAACTCCTGACCTCAGGTGATCCACCCACGTTGGCCTCCCAAAGTGCTGAGATTACAGGCATAAGCCACCATGCTAGGCCTTGATGATTTTTTAAAAGGAAATTGTAATAAAACATGCTTCCCAAAGCTGTATTCTTATCAGTTCAATATTGAAAAAGGATCATGATAATTAAATTGGCCAAACAGAATTTAAAAGAGTACTGACAAGCATAAAATATAGGCAGTCACACATTTTACTTGACAGAGCAAATAAAGGTTGCAATGAATGAGTTATTCAAGCCATTTATTACTCTGGTGTTCAGTCCAGACTTGTGTCATAGACAGGTAAATTAATTTATCATCTGAAAAATCCAATGCTACCCACATAATTTGAGAAGATTAAAGGCACATCCCTTATTTCAGTATGGTCCCTGAACATCCACATACCAAAAATATTCATATGTTTGACTACCCCAACCTTCAGCTGCTTTAGCCAAGTTAGTAGGACAGTTGTCTTCTAGGCCAACCATGGTAAAAATACATCTTTAAATTTTTCCTAGACTATAGATTTAAATTTTCTTTTCCCCAAATGATAGTTATACTAAAGCAATTAGTCGGATAGAAGTAGTGTTTCTCTATCATTGTAATTTTTTAAAAACTGGGTACTGACATGTGATTTAAAAAGTGCTAACTTTGAAAAGTTCTGAAGCCACATCATTCATCTGTAGGACCCTCCCCCCGTCACACATACAAAGGCTGCTCTTAGAATGGTAAATGTTGAGTGGGCAAACTTCATGGAGGGGATTTTATGTGTCTTAATGTAAGCTTAATTCTGGATATGAATAATAATCTTAGCACACTTTCATGTGGGCTTGTAATGAATCTTCTTTTTTTTTTTTTTTTTTGCCAGCTTTTTGGAGACTGGGAAGCCCAGCTGCGGAGAATAATGAAACTCATTGCTGGAGGTGGCTTGTCTATCACTGGCTCTCACAACATGTGTGGGGACTATCTGTACAGCGGGCACACGGTCATGCTAACACTCACCTACTTATTTATCAAAGAGTGTAAGTCTAAAACAGACCTCCATTATAATTTCCTCACCTGCCGTTTCTCATGCTCGATGGTCCACTGGTAAAACATGTTTTCTGGAAAATCTGCTGAGGTAAGACTGGAGGCTTCAGGAGAGTCGCAGCTTCATCTCAGCGCTGTGGACCTGGCACCCAGGGAAATACATGGAAAGACAGAACTGGTCTTCCTGAGGAGAAGGTGTCCTGAAGTGTTAGCTGTAGTACTCGGGTGGAGGCAGTTCCAAGTACAGCCTGCAGGGTGTGTTATGAGCTAGTTATACAGCTGCTGTGAGGAACCAAATAGAAATCTCAAAGGGACACGGAAATCCAGGATCAAGCCTGACTGGGTGATGGTAGATCATGTATTGACGCAGCAGCCATTTTATCAGCACTTGGCACTATGCCACATGCCTAAGGGTACAGTAATGGGTCAGACACATCCCTGTCCTCAATAAGACCATAGGGTCAGGGCTGAGGCAGATATTAAATGGGAAATTTCCTTTAAGAAAGGTACTTAAAAATATTTTATTGGGAAATTACAAAATAATATCATAGATACTCCATATATGGCTCAGATTTAATATATATTAGCATTTTTCATATTTAATTCAGATAACCCTTTTAGAAAGGAAATTAAATGTTAGTATAATTAAAGTGGCAGGCACTTCAAGACATTAATAAAGAGAGTCAGCAGATAGCAAGTTGGATTGTGGGATACAGAAAACAGATGGTAGAATGGGTTAAAGCCCAGTTTTGTCCTTGAAAAACTAAGATAGGGAAATACAGGCAGAGAAGAGAAATGTGCTTCAGGGCACAGACAGAAAAGAGATTAGATATTCCTATGCTTATACTTACTATGTGAGCAGTATAGTGAATTCTAGCAAGGTCTATTAAGAATTTTCAGGGTATAATCTAGCCCTTGTAATGGGATGTAACTGGATGTGGACCATGAGAACCACATAGACCAGATGTCAACAACTGTGGGGGAGGGATTCCTGGCTCCTGATGCCCGATACCTGAAATTCTTTAATGCGGTCAAGCCTTTTCCATCTTGACAATAAGGCAATGTGTCATATTGAGATGTAGAGGCCTTGGTACTATCACTTACTAGCTTTATGACCCTGGGAAGAAACTTTAACCTCTCTAAGTCTTAGTTTCCTCATCTTTAGAATAAGATATTCACATCTACCTCATGGGATGGGAAAAAGTTTACGAAAATTAAAATAGATGGCATGTATGGATACTAATAGAGTCACATGGAGATTGAATGGTAGCTGCTACCTGTTTTTGTATTGTCAAGGTATCAAATACAAATATTACTAGAATATTCCTACCCTGACTACTCCATTTAAAATTGCAAATTGCCCTTCACTCCCTATACTTCTGATCCTCCCTTATCCAGCTCAACTTTCTTATTTTTCCACAGCCTTTAACACCTAACATAATGTGTAAATTACTTAGTTATTATAAGTATTGTCTCTTATCTCTTTTCCCCACTAGGAAGTGATCCCCCCACAAAGGCACACCCCTTGCCTTTTTTGTTCATTGATCCAGGTACCTAGAGCATTGCTTGTCCTTGGCATGTAAGAGGCTCAACGAATATCAGTTAAATGAAAGACTGGTTCTTGGACCCCTTAAGAATCCAGTAAAAGCCTGAACCTCCCAGCTGGTGTGGAGAGGGTAGATCATATTCAAACAACATTTTGCCTAACATTGCAGAGGCTCTGAATCCCACAATTGAGAATGTGAGATAGAAAGGCCTGCACTAATAGAGATTTTGATGTTTTTCTCAGGTGATTTCTCAAATGGGGGGCAGGCAAGTATTTATCTGACACCATTCTACCTTTGAGGAGGCACTTGAACTAGAATTCCCAGGCATCTGGATGCCTTTTGCCTGTATTTGAGAAATGAAAATCTCAAAGACTTTCAGATTAGTGTATGGTTGCAGAACTTGGAAAGCATTACAGTCAAATCAGTTATTACTGCTTAGTCCTATGGACCAAAAGGTATTGATTTTTGTATAAAGCATCAACCCCAAATTAGCTAGAGGTAAATTTAAATGTCAATGGACAGTTTTTTAAAATGAAGCATGATGGATTAGCCTGTCCTTATTTGATTAGACTCATCTTTGAAACTCTATTTATGATTATATGAATCAAGAACCAAATATGAATTACTATCACTAGTATAATCACATTATAAAAAGCTGTTTCTGTTCTAAACTTGGTTACCGTTAAGTGAAAGCCCTTAGATTCACTAGATCTGTTTTCAAAAGGAAAGACTCAAGGTAACTGGATTCAGAAGTAGTAGCAGAAGCATCGTTGGGTACCCTTAATGTCATTCGAATAATGGGACTAATGCAAATCTTTTCGCCTTTCAGATTCCCCTCGACGTCTCTGGTGGTATCACTGGATTTGCTGGCTTCTCAGCGTAGTTGGAATCTTCTGTATTCTCTTAGCGCATGACCACTACACTGTGGACGTGGTGGTGGCATATTACATCACCACAAGACTCTTCTGGTGGTATCACACTATGGCCAATCAGCAAGTGAGTTTCCCCCTTTTTGATTTTAGCTTCTATGGCTTATGGCTTGCTGTTGCTGGCTTGGGCAGGGTGCAAAGAATCCATGGATGTCTTAAGTTTCTCTTTCTTAAGAGGTAATAACTAAGATTGTATTGTCTCGTGACATCTATCCTCTTCAGAATAAAGAATAAAAAGTTTATTCATATAATGATTTAAGGAATTACTTCTGACTAGAACAAGTATCACACTTTCACTGTCCATGAAAAACGAAAAATACTTTCTAAGCCTGTGTCCATCCTTGCTTGATTCACTTTCCTACCCTCTTCTCTCTACCCTGGGCCCATCACAAGCTTAATACTTAACATTTAATTAAGCTTTAACATTTTTAGCATAGAAGAGGAATACCTTAAAAGCTAATTGAGACAAGAGATAAGTGAGCCATAAGTTCTCCTTGCTGTCCCCGAATTGGAGTGTTTTTTTACTGAGATGTGGCTCAGTTTGTAGTTGAGTGTGGAGCCTTGTATGGTGATGAGAGAGAGAAGCTGAGATATGTGGGTGGATGTAGGGCAGGTATGGGGTCCTTTGGGAATTTTAGCATGGCAAATATTTGAACTAAAAGTGAAAGATCTTGAGAAAAGTGTATATGTTTCTTTGTTATCCTAGGTGCTAAAGGAAGCTTCCCAGATGAACCTCCTGGCCAGGGTGTGGTGGTACAGGCCATTTCAGTACTTTGAAAAGAATGTCCAAGGAATTGTACCTCGATCTTACCATTGGCCTTTTCCCTGGCCAGTAGTCCACCTCAGTAGGCAAGTTAAATACAGCCGGTTGGTGAATGACACATAACAGCTGTACAAAGTGGGGAAAAGACAAATTGTCCGAAGTGCTAAGAACTCCATGAGAGAAGATGCCATAAAATAAACACCTCCCTAATCCTATTATCTTTCAATGGTTACCTAGACTTAACCTATTGAGTTACCTGGTCAGCACTGTGATCTTTTTTTCTCTCCAAAGGACCTGCGTTGGACAACAATAAAGAAAAATTTAACCTATCATGCACTGTACACATTTCCTGTTCATAAGTTTGGGATTTACATAACCCGCAACCACCAATTTCCTTTGTATATGATGCAACAGCATAAATGTAAGCTTTTATATCATAAGTTCTGGTCTTTCCAGTCACATCTGGAAATAAAGCATATTATTTTCTTGGGAAAACATACTTTTCATATCTCTTGCCCCAAAGATTGGGCTGTAAGCCATTTTCTAGCATATGTCTCTATGAAGGTTTCTAAGTACCTGAATGGGGTTTGATTCTGAAATCTTTCTATCTGTTGCACCGATATTCAAATAAAAATGATAGACACAGAAAGGTTTGGTAACTTTGGGTTTTGTAAAATCACAAAGACAGTGTTTCAAAAAGTGCAAAAAAAAAAAAAAAAGATTCTGTTATAAAGTGATTTTCTAAGTATTTCCTAACTTTATTTTTCAAAATGATGTTATGAAAACCAAATTTAAAGATTTTTAACATGTCAGAGAGAAGAGAGTTAAAATTTAAAAATGCATCTTGGGAGAGAAATTTGTCTATGTTTCTAGTGCCTTTCTTGTCTTGATTGTATGGTCAGTAGGCAATCTTAAATGTTTTTATTTAAAATAAAGTATTCCATGAAAATATAAATGTATGTATACACTACTAAATTTTGCATTTATAGCTAAATTAAATCAGATGACTGCTTATGGTTTTAAAATTGAAATGACTTAAATAATGAGGTTGTTAATTAGAATCAGAGCCTGTTCACATATTGTGATCAGGTAGAATGACATGTACCATTTAAATTATTTTACCGTCTATTTGGTAGTTTGATTTTAACTACTCAATGAAAACAGCCATGAATATCTTTTCTTTAAAGAGAGTTTTGAAAATGATCACTTACCTAAAACTTGAAAGCTATGAATTAATTATCCATACTCTCATGACAGTTTTGTTGGTGAACAACAAATAAAGAGACCTATTTCTTTAAAAGATATTTGTGCAGAAACTGCATGTAACTCTAAGTTTTACTCCTAACATACATATGTTTGGGGAAGTATTCTATTCTATACTTGCCAATGTGGAGAACAAAATAGTTTTTTAAGAATGAAGAAGTATATATATATCCATTCTGTATTTTACGTGCAGCAGAATTATCTTCCGTAGGATTTTTTTGTGTATTCACAAGGTGATATTTGTATTGTAAAACAATAATGGTGAAGGAAATAAAAAGGCTTTTAAATTTTTGTTTGTTTTAAATCTTTGTAAAGTTATTATTCCAGAGAGCATACTGGTATCTTACAGCTTACCTAGACCATAAATTAATCAAAATGCACTTTTTAATAAAAACTGATACTTAAAATAAATGGCTGTTATTTCTACTGTGTTCACATTCTTCACAGAAGTCATAAATGAAGTCATTAAAGCAAGATAGAAAGTCAGTTTCAGAATTTCTTCATGGAGTGTGTCTGACATGGGACTTTTATTAATTATCTGGATTGTTTTTCTTGGGATTCCTTAAAATATATTCTAATCTTCAGTAAATGCTACGGAGTTTTTTAATATATGAAAGAGTCACATATAAGTTAAATTCAAATGTTAGACCAATGTTTACTAACATTTTGAATTCTCTAATTCTCAACCAAGTCGGGTTTTTGTTTCCTATAACTGGCAGTAATATAGCTTCTCTAGTGTAGCTGGAAAGGAAAAGTAAATCCAAAGTGAGAAATAGAATGATAGTACTTTGATAACCAGTGGTAATGGAAAAGAACTCTTTAAAAAGAAAAAAAAAAAATTCTTTCTGGTGTGGTGACTAAAAGGAAAATGTCAACAGTGGAGATGTGTCTTTGATAAAGGATGTACCAAGGAGGCTAGAAATGTAAAACCAGAGGCTGGGTGGTAGTTCATGCCTGTAATCCCAGCACTTTGGGAAACAGAGGTGGGCAGATCACTTGAACCCAGGAGTTCAAGACCAGCCTGATAAATATGAAACCCTGTTTCTACAAAAAATACAAAAATTAATCTGGCATGGTGATGCATACCTGTAGTCCCAGCCTCTCAGGAGACGGGTGGGAGGATCACTTGAGCCTGGGAGGCAGAGGCTGCAATGAACCATGACCATGCCATTGCACTCCAGCCCCAGCAAAGAGTGAGACTGTATCTCAGAAAAAAAAAAAAAAAAAAAAAAGGAATTTAAAGCCAGTAAAACTTTCCTGTGTGGGGCTTTGAACTTGTGTGTCAGAGAAAATGTGGCAGCCTCTTTAGGCACATAGAGCCAAACTCTCAGATAGGCCTGTATTTAACTGTTACAGGCTTTCCCTAACTTTGAGTATTGGTTGCTGCCATACTGAAGGGAAAGTAAGTTGAATAAGTGAAAATGATTTATTGGCACTTGCTAAAAATAGGATTTTTTTTCCCTAAAAAAAAGTAATTATATAAAACTTTATTGTTATGAGTTTACATACCATATGTGTATCAAGAAATCCACTGCTGATTGTTCTTTATGGCTGACTACATTGATTCATGAATTGACATATCTTCTGGGTCTCTAGTGTGCAAATTCTAGAGGATAAGTAGAAATCTCATCGTGTTCTAGAGAATTGTAGTACACTTGGTAAGTATTGCTTGAGTGAGGACATGTGCTTTCTCAATTCTTTTTTTTTTTTTTTTTGGCTCACTTAACAGGTTAGGCATTTTACATGTATCATTTAACCCTCACACAACCACAAAGTGTAACTATTATTCCCATTTTACAGATAGATCAACCCAAGTGACTCAGATATATTAAATAACTTGCCCTAGGGCATGCAACTGGTAACTGGTAAAATCCTATTGGAACCCAAGTTTCCACCCTCCCCCACCAATACTGTGAGCTTTCTACAAACTTCAGTAAGAGTCTTCAGTAAGAGAAACCTATGCCTATGGTGGTAAAGCATATGCTTACTATGGAATGAGTAGCAAGAAGTTTACACCATAGATGTGAGAGGAGAATTTGATGGATTGCTATGTGTTTTATTTATATCCCAAGCACATGCCAAATTTGGATCAATTTGATAAATATCTCATAATAAATACCACATACAGTGGAAATGTATGCCAATCTTAATTTGACCACCAATATACAAAAAGTTAACCAGATTTCTGAATTTACTAGAAAACAATATGCTGCTCGGATCACTAGATATTGACATCCTTTATTTTTTTTTTCCCAGTGGTCAAGAAACAATTTGAACAAGTCAAAGCTGTTGACTAGGCATGCTGCTGATCAGCACCTTAAAATACTTACCTGTCTCTTAGTTTACAGTACAAGTCATAAGGAAATCACATGACCTTTCACATTTAAAGTGATAGTTGATATAATTGAATGAACATCTACCATGTTTGTAACTTTTTTCTATTTGTTGCATTTGTCCACTCTTTATCCTCTTCTTTTTCTTTCTCTAATTTTGAACAATTTATGATTCTGTTTTATCTCTTAGCATGCCAGTTATTCTTTTTACGAATTTTTAAATGGTTGCCCTGGAGTTCACAATATAAACTTTTTTTCAAATATAAGCCTGCCTTCAAGTATAGTGTAGGCATTTTATAACCACACATTCCCAATTTCTCATTTCTGCCCTTAGAACATTGCTATCATTCATTTCACTTATCCATATGGTATAATCACTAAATACATTATTACATTTATTACTTTGGACAATCAATTACCTCACAGATCAATTAAGAAAAATTAAGGATTTTGTTCATTTTCACTTATTTATTCTCTGATGCTCTTCTTATGTAATTCAAGCTTCTAACTGACATCATTTCATTTTGCCTGAAGAACTTCCCATTTGTTGCAGGGCAGGTTGGCTTGCTTTTTTTCTTTCAAAACTTTAAATATTTCACTCTAATTTCTTCTGGCTTACCTAGTTTCTCACAAGAAGTCTGCCATAATTTTATTCTTTTCTTCTATAGGTAAAATGTTTTTTCTTTTGGCTTTCAAAAATTTATCTTTGTCTTTGCCTTCCTACAGATTTAATATGAAATGCGTAGGTGTAGTTTTTTTGTTTTTGGTCTTTATTTTTGGTGTTCTCTGAGCTTGCTGGGTCTGTGGTTTGGTGTCTGTCATTAATTTTGAAAAGTTGTCAGCCATTCTTTCTTCTCTGTTTTCCCTTTGTTTTGGTTTCTGATACTCCCATTGTGATATGTTAGACATTTTGAAATTGTTCCACAGTTTTTTGATGTTCTATTTGCCCCCAGCCCTTTTTTTTTTCCGGTTTGATAGGTTTCTATTGACATATCTTCTAGCTCACTGATACTATTCTCCTTGGCCATATTTGTTCTAATGATGAGCCCATCAAAGGCATTCTTCATTTCTGTTACAGTGTTGACTATTTCTAGCAGTTTGTTTTTGTTCTTAGCTCCAAATTCCTCTGCTTCATTTTTTGCCCTCACTTTTGACTTGGGCTTCCCTAAGTAGTCCTTCTTAGAGAGGGTCTGTGTCTTGTATCTGTTTTAACTGTAATTCACCATTTTTCTTGTTGGAGCTCTATTGGTGTGGTGGTTAGTTGTTGGATGGGGGAGAGTTTAACAATATGATTAAATCTCAGTTTTTAGGACATTTTTGTAGATACATTATATGGGCTACATGTGATATTTTGCATGCATAGAATGAGTAATGATCAAGTCAGGGTATTTAGGATATCTATCATCTCAAGTATTTACTATTTCTGTGTGTTGGGAACATTTCAAGTCCTCTCTTCTACCTATTTTGAAATATACATTATTGTCAACCTACAAACATTAGAATGTATTCCTTCTATCTCACTGTATATTTATACCCAATAACCAAACTGTCTTCACCCCACTTACCCTTCCCTGCCTCTGGTATCCATTTTCCTCTCTGTCTTCAAGAGATCAACTCATTTAGCTTCCAGTAATGAGTGAGAACATGCAATGTTTGTATATTTGTGTAGAACTTATTTAGCATAAGGACCTCCAGTTTCATCCATTACAGCAAATGACATCATCTCATTCTTTTCTGTGGCCAAATAGTATTCCAGGGTGTATTTTTACCGCATGTTCTTTATACATTTGTCCATTGATGAATACTGAGGTTGACTCTATATTGTTGCTACTGTGAATAGTGCCCCAATAAACATGAATGCAGGAACATTTTTCATATACTGATTTCTTTTTCTTTGGATAAATATCCAGTAGTGGGATTGGTGGATCATATGGTAGTTCTATTTTTAGTTTTTTGATAAGCTTCCATACAATTTTTCACTGTGGCTCTACTAATTTACATTCCCACCAACTGTCTGTAAGAGTTCCCTTTCTCCACATCCTTGCCAGCATCTATATTTTTGTTTGTTTGTTTGTTTTAGTTTGGCTTTGGTCTTTTTCAGTAATAGTCATTCTAACTGTGGTTAGATGATTAGCGATGTTGAGCATTTCTTCATATACCTGTTGGCCATTGTAGGCCTTCTCCTTTGAAAAATCTCAATTCGTGTCCTTTGCCCACTTTTTAATGGAATTATTTGTTTTTTTTTTACTGTTCAGTTGCTTGCATTCCTTGTATATTCTGGATGTTAGTCTCTTGTTGGATGAACAGTTTGCAAATATCTTTCTCCCATTTAGCACGTTGTATCTTCACTCTGTTGATTGTTTCTTTTGCTATGCAGAGCCTTTTAGTTTGATTTAGTCCCATTTGTCTATGTTTGGTTTTGTTGCCTGAGCTTTTGAGGTCTTAGCTATAAAATTTTATATTTAGGTCTTTAATTCATCTTGAGTTTATGTTTGTATACATTTAAAGGCACAGGTCTAGTTCCATTCTTCTGCATATGGATATCCAGTTTTCCCAGCACCATTTACTGAAGAGGGTGTGCCTTCCCAGTGTACGTTCTTCACGCATTTGTCAAAAATTAGCTGGCTGTAAATATATGTATTTATTTCTAGATTCTCTCTTTTGTCACATTGGTCTATGTGTCTGTTTTTATATCCGTATCATGTTGTTTTGGTTACTATATCCTTGTAATATATATTGAAGTCAGATAATATAATGCCTCCAGCTTTGTTCTTTTTGCTCAGAATTGCTTTGACTATTCAGCCTCTATTTTGATTTTATGTGAATTTTAAGATTGTTTTTTCTATTCTGGTGAAAATTGACGTTGGTATTTTGATAAGAATTACATTGAATCTGCAAATTGCTTTGAATTAATATCATTTTAATGGTTTTTGTTTTGTTTGCATCCTGTTGAATTTCTTACATCAGAGATTTGTAGATTTTCTTGTAGAGATATTCTACCTCTAGATAAATTTATTCCTAGGTATTTCATTTATTTTTTTGTAGCTATTGTAAATGGTATTGCCTTCTTGATTTCTT